ATTTGATTTGCGAACAATCAAGAGTTATTCGAGATACCTCTACATTTGTGAGTTCATGCTTGTGGAGAAGCGATAGTTGAATTCTTGAGGGTAAGACGTCATAACCTATTGCATCAGATTTTGTACTTAGAGGGGCGGAAATATATTCTTACAAATAGTGACTACACGCCTCTATCGATAAGTTTTCTTACCTTGTTTATTTTATGTTTGTAGCATTTTTAACTTGATATTTTCACATTTTCATATAATTGATTATATGCATCTTGGAGGTCCTCAATATTCTCAATTTTATCCTTACTAGTAAAGACTTCAACAACCAAATCATCTATCTCTGCGGTAGGACTTGACTCAACTTCACCACTCGAAGTTTTTTTTTTTTTTGGGGGGAGGGGGGGAATGGAAGCCAACGAAGGCTGTGAAATTTTCTTCATCCTCTTGAGAAGAGGAGTCCTCCTCACTCAAAGTAGACTCACTTTTACTTACCACCTAGCCTTCACGACTCTTCTCCTTTCCTTTGGGCTTGCCTTTCTTCTTTGCACTAGGACATTCTGCAACCACATGTCCAAATCATTGACTTTCGTAGAATTGGATTCTTTGCCCCTTCTTCTCAACTTCTTGTTCAGAATTTTTGTCCCATTTCTCTTTTCCTTTCTTAGAAGATTTAGGTCTACTCAACTTTCCCTTTGATCTCGAGGACTTGACACCATTAACCTTAAAATATCTTTTAAAATTTCTCGTAAGATAGGCTATGTCTTCTTCTCCCAATTGGGCTGACTCAAATTTACCTCCCTCTTCTCTCGTTAAGCACGTACCACACCCTTCACTTTCTTGGGTAGTAGGAGGTTCATCCCAAAAATCAAAATCAGCCCTACTAGGTCTTCCATCTACACCGATGCTTGTTGACGCTCGTATCTAATGAGGTCACTTTAGCATGAAACCACTCCAATAAAGATCTCAAGATTTTTCTTGTAATTGCAGCAACATTAGACTTGATACCTAATGCAAAGAAAAAGTTAACAATATCACACAATATAGCATAAAATTCATTAAAGGTTTATTTCTCTTACATTAACACTTCAAATTGTGAGGTGTACCTTTAGAGACGATACATCTTGGCCATGGAATTCCCGTCGTCGGATACATTAAGAATGCCCCATGCCTCCTTGGAGGTTTCATAATTAGCTATCCTTCAGAACTTGTTTGGTGTTACGTTGCATTCAAATCTTTCGAGTTCCACCTTGCCAATTTAATTTTAGCTTTAGTCCATGACTAAGGGGATTTTACTTCAACATCCGCTTCACCATCTTCAACCAAAGTGGTGATGGTAGGAGGGGTCCAATTCTCTTCCACACAAAATGACCCATACTTTCTCATCAAGCGATTTTAGAAACACTCTCATTCGAGCTTTCTAATACGCGCAGTTAGAACCGTCAAAAAGAGAGTTGGTCATGTAATTGATCATCTTTTCTTTTGAGAATCCATTAAAAACTAACTAATAGTAACAATAGATCTCTTGGAAGCAACAACTAGGTATGCAAGCAAAAACAAGATATATCTACAATTGCCTAATGCAACTTTGGTGAACCATGCTTTCATACCAATTGTTGCGGGGGAGATTATATAGATCTTTCATCATGATTAAACACATGAGTTTCTAGACACTACTTAGAGGGGGATGAATAGATTAATTAAAATTATTCTTAACAAACACCATGACCCTTTAAACTCATGAACATTGATGTATTGATTTTTTTAATTTTAATGCTCAACACTTAATCTCTCACGGCGATCCCAAATCAATGGCAACAAACCCAAACAAGGAACTATGCATGATGTAAATATTCAATAAATCAATTTATTAAACACAGTGCCCGTGTGTGCTCAAATTGTAAGTGTATATGTGAAAACAATAAAGAATACAAATAATTTGTTGATGTAAAACCCCTCCTAAGAAAAAAATTGCGAGGAACCTCTCTAGGGTTCACCAAAGCTTAATTTATTATCTCAAAGTTAGTTTATAAGTGTTCGAGACTTATACCTCAACCAATACCATGGTTGAACACTCCTTTTCTTGAAATCCCCCACTGCACAAATCATTTACGCCTGAAGCTATCTTTTCGTTAAGATCCTCACTACTTAACACTTCCATTGGGTTTGGTTTAACCAACCAACTTGTTCTTCTCCAAGGTGTGAGATTAGACAGGAGTTAAGATGGTAGCCTTTGAATTTTAGGAATCTAGGATTGTGTTGAGATCTCTTTAGGTTTAGAGGCAAAAATAAGGTCACAAAAGAGATTACCATAGCTTGGGAAGACTCCCTCTCTTTATAGGCTCAAAATAAGGATTGTCTTGAAGTCCAAGAAAATATAGGACCCCAAAATTAGAGGGTGGTTAAAGGACAAGGGTCATTGAAATGAAATTTAAAATCAAACTAGAACTGTAGAGCAGAGACAACTCGAGCAGCCTAAGAACAACCTAGAGGGCGATCCTTTCTACCACAAACTTAGCTTTTTTTTTAATTTTATTAATAAATCTTTAGAGACCGCTTTAGCAAAGGCTAACGAACATAAGACGATCCTTACTAGTTTTTTAAGTTTAAAACCAAGCAAAAAATTAGTATTCTTGAACACTAAAGGTTTAGAAAATGATAATGGCTCAAGAGGGATGATAATGACTCAAACTGTATTTTCAAAACACAAAGGTTAGAAAAACATTTCTTTGAAAATCATTTAAGAGTCATACATGGATTCCATGTTAACACTAATTATCCTGAGTCTAATAAATTAAACCAGGGGTTCTTAGACTTCTATGACCATTATTTTTGTCCTAAGCAAGAAGTTGCATATGGAAAGTTCTTTTGATATAGTTTGAAGCATAATCTCATCCCTTATGTTTGACACTTTCGAATCTTTGTCGTTGTAACATCATGACCATGAAATAGATTGAGATTTATATAGATTTCACGAAATTAATCAATTACAATACATAATCTAACACACCCGAATTTGATAAGACCTCACCTAAACTCACTTAATTTTATATCGATTCGTGTTAGTTAATCTTGTCGTATTTTAAAAACCTAGTTACAAGATAAAGTGTTAGTTTTTTATTTAGAAAAGTAAATTGCAGAAACAGTCGTAAGAAGCCAAGTACATTTTTTGTTGATTTAAAAATCAGGACTTTTTGAAATAGTGCATGTTGATTGGATGAATTTCATGTTCTTTTAATTAAAACAAATTTAAAACCTTAGAATTGAGTATTTTTGGTTGGAAAGCTTCGGAAGGCATCTGCCAAATAATTTTTTTTGTTTCACATATAGAGATGGACAGAATTTGTATGGTGCTAAAAATTACTATGCAATATTGTAGAGTTAACAAAGAGTGAGTACCAACATAAGCTAAGTGGTAGGTGCCCATTTGGTTAAATTAGGCTTAGGCTATGTTGATCCATAGAGTAACAGCCTTAGGGTCTGAACTACAAGTCCTGCCTCGGGACTGGCCAAGCCATATTGGGGCTGTTTGGAAAGGGGGTATAGGGGGGGTTTGATAAGATAAGTTTGGGGAAAATAGTCTAAAGGACCCTTAAATTTCATGTTTGTATGAAAAATTCAGTCCCGAGTTTTCAAAACTCAGCCCGTAGCTGGCCCGAAGATTAAACTTATGATCATAGGTTTCATCAAACCTAGGAAAGGGGTGGGTTTGAGAAGATGTGTAAGGGGTTAAAGATCTAAAAGACAATTGTACCCCTTAACATGAGTATGAATTAGATTAATCAAAGGTAAAATAGTCATTTACGGGATAAATAGTTGTTAATAATTAAGATATATATGTGGGTCCTACATGTATATGTGTTGCTTACTAAATATGAGTATTGATCGGATTGAATGTTGAATCTCATATTTGTAAATAGGGGTTTAATTTTGAAAGGGTTTAAAGGAGTCAATCCAAACCCTTCTCCAAAATTCATTCAAACAAGCCCATATTGTATATAAAGGGCTTGGCACAGGCCCGACCCAAGCTATCGAGGTCTAGGTTCTTTTTTTTTTTTTCACAATAGAAAATAGTCTATTTTGTTTTGCTGTAGGGCATTCAGGTTTGCACCGACTATTTTTGCAAACTCAACGGCTAGCCACTGAAATTTGAGTTAAGTTAGAATATATCACTAAAAATGACAATGATGATTGGTTCTTAGGAGATGTGAGAATAGATTAAACTTGACACTTCTAAATTATCAAAAGTCAGAGTCAGGCACTGAAATAGAGTTTACAAAATCACTGTTTAGATGTAGCTAAACTAACCACATTTTTTGTCTAATGTTTTGTGTATATTGTGGGTGCGGTCTGCGGTTAATCTCTATCATTGACATATGGACCAATATTTTTAGCACAAGCCCTGAAACGTCTAGGACAGACCCATGGACATCCTTACCGAATGAAATAAGAAAAGTGTTCTTTTTTTTTTTTTCTATTTAAAAAAAAAAATTGTGTTCTATTCCTTTGCTTTTTTAGAAAAACTTAATGTAAGGAACACACATATGGGTTTATACCGTTAAACAAGCCAAAATCAACGATTTTTACACTAGGCTGAGTTGGGTGAGAAGTGAGAGACATCCACTAATACAACTCAATTCAACAAAACTTTATAAAAGTAACGAAATATAAAAGTTACATGGGATTTTACAAACCAACCCGACCATGACCTAATAAATAAACCTCTCGAGTTAGTGTCAACACATTATTATTTAATTGGATAGGATTAGGGTTGCTTAATGCTTGTCACAAACTTGAAATGACATAATACAAACAAGACATAACAAGATTCCATTTGATATGCTAACTCTCATTCATAAGAATCAAAGAACTTGTAAACTCTTTGGTTACACATGGGAAGGATGTCTACATCAAACAAAAAAAATTTGAGCAGCGGAAAAAGGCAAAGAAAGAACGATGAAAGACAGCTATATATGCAACAAATTTGATTCAAAAACCATTTGAATCTCTGTTCATGGAACTGGATAAGACTTGTTATTGCACATGCATTTGTAAGCCATAGGACATGTCTCAGCCTCTTCAAGCGACGCACAAACGAAGCTAACCATGACAAGTCGACATGGTGTGCATGATCCACAGGCATGAGAACAATCGGGTAAGCTTGAGCCGGCAATTTGGAGTGTATCGGGTCCCTTATGCTTCATTGCTCTTCTTCTCTCCAAGTTAGGTTTCACCATCATCGCCACATCCTTTTTGCTTGGCAGTGTCTGATGGTGATTGCCATGATCTGTTAAACATAACATATTACACCTTTATAAGTTATTTTGATATCTTGATAATGACCATAGTTTAATGCAATATTTGAAGAACAGTGTTCATCTTCTAAATTCACACGCTAGTTAGATTTTGGACGAACAACACGTATAAATAAGACGATGACAACAAGAGTTAAACATATGATCTACTTGTCTAAGATCATATTATATTAATCACCAACTTTTTATAATCAACAATGTCATGTTATTATCATAACTATAATTAATTGCAATAGTAATTTCAATAAAGTCCAAGAAAATTGGGAAACAAGTTGGAACTTTTTTATTACATTTATGCAATTCAAAATATATTTTATGCTGGATTTTGACTTTTTACTTGAAAAAATACCCAAAAAGAAAAGAAAAGTTGCCATGGGGCTGTGTTTATGCATGCACAGAGAGAGAGAGAGAGAGAGAGAGAGAGAGAGATGTACATGATGGTTGGCGGCCAATGTCCCTGGCAGACAAGACCACCGGTAGGGAAAAAATGGCTAGAAAAATGGCAGTTCGAAGAAAACCCTTCATGACGCGAACTTTTTCTTTCTGCTTTTTGCCTTTGAGTTTGGTGTGCAAGACTGTTAATTTGTTACAGAAGAAGCCAAACTTTGGTGAAAGAAACAGGAGGCATAGACAAATATATATAGAGGTTACCAAAATAAGGTGGTATTGAAGCAAGTCACAGGCAATTGCACGGACTCAAGGAGAGAGATACAGAAAGGTCACATGAAAGAGGGTGGAGAAGAAGAGAGATCACAGGGCTTGAGCTCCTTGAGCAATGGCGGATTGATTTTATTCACATTTTTGTGGCTTCATTGAAAAGTGATTAACGAAGAATTTACGGAATTAAAGTGTCTTCTTTTACGTGAGTTTCTGACCCAAGATAAAAGGATACAAAAGAGTTGCCATAAATGCAATTCATGATGAATCTTTCTGTACGTTAAAAGCTTAAGCCAGCCAGGGTAATAAATTGAGGTACCGGCGGGGTCTAATGTGACTGCCATTAATGTTTTATTGCTCCCTCTACACCTCAGGCCTTGTAGACCAACCTCACCCTACTCTTCCATTTCTTTGTAAAAATTCGAGAATTTTTCCGGTCAGTGTCCAGTGGTATGCATTAGATACAAAACTTGAATAAGTTTAACTCTATTCATATATCCTTCTATCTACAAATAATTTCAATTTTATTATCAAACAATTTTCCAAAAGATGAATTACTCCAAAATTTTATTGTCAAGCAACTCTTACTCGGAAGATGACTTAATCTTAAAACGTATCACCAAATAGTTTCAAATTGCATACACTTCTCTCAATGTTTTCTTTGATGAACTTATGAAAAAAATTAAACTTCTTTGGTTTGATTTTCTCGTTGATCACACATGTTTTGGTGTAGCAAATTTATTATTATGTATTAGGGTTTAATTTCCAATATTTATATTCATAATTTTGTGACAAATCAAACTTCAAATAACTCCATGGTCAGGCTTCACTCATTCTTGATCAGTCGTAAACCAACCAAAAGTAATGAACTAATTCTAAAGGAGTAATTAGTTAAACTATGCTGTTCAAATTTTCAACTCAACTTTAACTTTCTAAAGAACAATGTTATTTGATTTAATTTGTTGACTTTATACATTGATCTAGTTACTCTCTGTCATTAAATTGACAATAGACCATATTAATTGAGATTCGTTATCAATTTAATAATTATGATGAATTAGATCAATAAATTAAGTTTAAATAACAAATTATTATTTTTTTTTCTAAATGATATGATTAAAGCTTAACTATTCAATATCCTTATCCTCTTATTTATCGCTAGTGATGGAGCCAATCTTAAGGGTACTTTAAGTGATAACAAAGATGAACTGTAAATTCAGACGTTTTGAGTTCGAATATTGACAATACCTTGAAACTAGGTCATGAAAGATTTATCCGTAATGAATACTCTAATCCTAATATAGATGATCTAACTTTGATCAGACTGAAGAGAAAATTAGTCGATATGCGCGTAAGTTAACTGACATTAAAAAAAAAAAAAGAGGTTGTGATGGACCCAGCTCGTTTGAAAAGCCTAAGTTTGGGCTAAAAAGTTGGGCAGCACACCAAAATTGAACCAAAAGAAGTGCACCACTTACGGCAAGTAGTGCTTATGCCAGCTCGATTAACATCTACCTATAAAATGTATATAAAATGGAAAAATTTTTGATTGACCACAATATCTCTACGATATAATATAATTACCTCAAAACCCTTCCAATCAATAAATATAGTTCAAGAGACTCACTTAAATCAGTCTACTCTTCCCCCTCTCGCATAAATTTCTGATTTTACTCTTGTTTATTCCACTAAAGTCAATTAAATCCTTGATGTCCCTTCATCTGCTTTCATCTTCTTTCAACGTTAAGTGATTGTTAATCACTTAAATTGGGTTAATTAGCATTACATTGGGTTAATTAGTATCACGTCTTTCTCCATCCCTTCTCTTTATCAATCTATATTTTTTTGGGCTGATCAACTACCAATTTTCTCTCTCTTTGTATAGTAACGGTGTTTGCGAAGTAGAAGAAACTCGAATCGATAGTTTACTCACCTTCAAGATGAGCTTCAGACATGTTCTTATGTGGACGGTAGACCTTGATCATCCATTGTCGATGCATTTGATCAGAAGTTGATAATTCTCAAAGTACGGTTGTTATCACTTTTTTGGTTCTATGACATAGTTCTCATGCTTTTTCCCTATAATTTTTTTTTTTGCATTGTATTCCTTTATGTTGTCTTTTTGTTATTATTATTATTATTATTATTCATGGTTGCATGGTACTATTTTTTAATGTTTATCAATTGATTATATTGATATTCTATCGATGGTACCAATTTATTAGGATTTATCTATGCTTTCTTTTTCTAGGTTTTACTTCTTGTATACATGCAATGATTTTGGCTCCTTTGGGTTCAATGGTTTCTATGTCTTTTCAATTTCTTTCTCTTTCTAGATCTTTTCAATTTCTTTCCCTTTCTAGATCTTTTCAACTATTTTTTGAACTCTAATTCTAATGTTCTCTTACTCAATTGGATAATCGTCATATCAAGTTTATTTAGGTAGAAGCAAATTATAATTTTGTTTAGAAAATAAGGTAATTTAAATATTAGCGATTGTGGTAATTTGATGCAAGTGANTTTAGGGATTGTGGTAATTTGATGCAAAGTGAATTATGTGCTTTGATGGGGAATTGTTTGTTGAAATGCCAATGGATACCTATAATTAAAATCATACGATTAAGAATGAAAGATAGAGTAGATTATAAAGATTGAAGATTTATTGTCTATATTTATTGATGACACGTGAAACTCAGCCAACTCAATTGAGTTTTCCTGGGATGTCGAGATAAGCTCATTTTAGCTAGGAGACACAACTTCATTAGCTCTACATTTGCGTGTTGAGAAGACAATGTCATGCATGATGAACCCTATGTTGGAAAATGTAGTTACACAACAGAAATATATTTTAGGAATGATTGTCGTCTATAAAACAAAGCTTTTTTTGAGTACATTTTTTTTAAAGAAGTGCATCCACTCTTTCTCTAACTCTATCCAACTTACTGTTTGAGTAAGTTTTAATTTGTTGATTTATGTTCAAGCTTTTTACTATATTGTGAGATTGTCATTATAAAAATTAATTTAATCATGAGTTTATTTGAAGTGTGCTATTACGAGAATTTATTTCAATTAAATGGTAAAAGTGATATTTGCACCACTTTCAAGCAAAGGAGGTGTTTTAATCAAATTGGCTACGTGGAAGATTCTGATCATCCTTTGTTGCATACAAATATTTTCGAAAGTCATACAATCGTAGCAATTGGTGGCTTGACATAACCAATTATTATATGATCAAATCATTATAGATGACTTGATACTTTTACATAATCTTACATGTTATACGATGTTCAAGCAAATAGAGAGTGTAAAATTTTTATGCATAAGACAACACTGTATCATTTTCAATTGGATGTAGATTTGCAAGCCAATATCATAGATAGTGAGGATATTTAGTGTTTACTATTTTACTGTTTATATCTAGGAGGATCTCTTGTCCATTGTTGTTGCGGTTCTTTCTATCTTTCAATGATATCGGATTTTTTGTCAAGGCTAAGACTTTGGTCAGTAAAAATTATGCAAGAACATTACTTGGAAAAATTTTGTTCGCTTAGATACATCATGAGAAAAATGTACTTACTTATGAAGTGTACTATAAGAAACTACCAATTTTATAGGAAATTTTTTTAAACTCACAATTCTTATATAGACCAACCCTTACTATCTTTTTCTTATAGGCATTTTAGCAACATGTACAATAGAGAAAAAATGAAGTGCATATTTGTAACTTAATGCTGAGAAAAAACTAAATCAACTCATAGTGGGTAGTCCAACATCAAGTTTTACATTTTTTTCGATGTCCCTCTAATATTTTTCAACAATTAGGACTCTAGACGTTGACAAAGTTTAAGAGGTTGTCAATTGAGTCAAGGCATTTGTTATATTGACTATGCTCATACTACTTTTAAGATTCATAAGAAGAAATAAACCGATTTACGGTCATTGATGATCACGTTAATATTTGACATGTTACTATAGCTTGAAATCAGAATCTTTACAATGTACTCTCTCTCTCTCTCTCTCTCTCTCTCTGTCTCATTATATAAGTTCTGAGTTGAGCTTTCCACTTCTATTATTAGACTATAAGTTATTCTAAAAGCTTAATCTATTAGAGAATATTGTAACATAAGTGTCTATATAATATTTCATCTCACGTGTGNCTATTATTAGACTATAAGCTATTCTAAAAGCTTAACCTATTAGAGAATATTGTAACATAAGTGTCTATATAATATTTCATCTCACGTGTGACCTCTCTTTGTGATTTGAACGTTAGAGCTCTAGGCTNTCTGTCTCATTATATAAGTTCTGAGTTGAGCTTTCCACTTCTATTATTAGACTATAAGTTATTCTAAAAGCTTAATCTATTAGAGAATATTGTAACATAAGTGTCTATATAATATTTCATCTCACGTGTGACCTCTCTTTGTGATTTGAACGTTAGAGCTCTAGGCTTGAATACCATATTCATCACCAAATGTGGGCAAAAGTTAAAATTATTAGAGGCGGTATAACATAAGTGCATGTTTGTGATTTGTGGTCCATAAAATCTAATTCTAAAAAAAAAAAAACATAACATAAAAAAAAACATTAACAATATGGCATCACATAGATATAAAAGCTTAGTATAGTAAAACCCCAGAAACNTGGCAAAAGTTAAAGTTATTAGAGGCGGTATAACATAAGTGCATGTTTGTGATTTGTGGTCTATAAAATCTAATTCTAAAAAAAAAAAACATAACATAAAAAAAAACATTAACAATATGGCATCACATAGATATAAAAGCTTAGTATAGTAAAACCCCAGAAACATTTCATTTGGATATTCCTAGGCCACTTTTACACCATCTTCAACATTTTTTTAATACAAAAATATAATGCTAAATTTTTTGAAAATCTAATGCTAAATCTTGTTATAATTTACTAACATTTTTGCGACATATAGATGTTATTTTAGAGTCATAAGTTCTTTTTTGAGGAATACATCAGACAATAAGTTCTTTTTTGAGGAGTACATCAGGCAAAAGTATATATAATATAATTGTGATCATCTTTTACGTGTAAACACATTGGCAATTATCTAAAAAAGGCTAAATCATATCATTTTATGAGGGATTATCCTTCAATTATAAGCCATGGAGGATTGATCATTAAATACAACAAGACATCATCTCCTATTAGCTTTATTCAGTTTTTCACCTTGCTTCCTATAAAACAATAGGGACAAGGAAGAAGGAAGGCAAGGGTGAGATGAATTATTTCCTAATAATCCAGTAATATTGCAATTTCATATTTCTTGGTATGTTCCAAACTTTTGATTAAAAATATATTTCTTACTTATTAAATCAATTATAAATAATAACTTATACTCACAATAGTTCACGTGCAACGCACGTGTGCATCAACTAGTTCTATAAAAAACAAGTTTTGAGCTAATAAAGACAAAACGGCCTGAGTAGCAACCCCAACTGTCAAATGCCTACATTGCAAGTTGTAATTTAGTTGAATTCATAAACAAATGTAACATAAATTTATAATCGAGCAATATTACTTAGACTTAATTTGCGTATCTCATGATCCTTTAGAGGTAGTTTAGTGGTTGAGTCTAATCTTTGGTAATCCAGATATTTTAGATTCAATCTCTTTCCACATGTAAAACCTAAAATTGTAAATACATAATATTTTATAAATGTTGGAGTCTAATTTATAAATAGTGATAATTATTTTGGGGATTTAATTATAGTTATAGAACTATGGGGAGTTAGGTAAATATTTTGAATAATAATCTTTGGGGCTGTATTTTATGTTGAATATGCATTTGAGTGTAATTTAATGGGTGGTAAAACATTTTGGGTGTGAATTATTAAGTTTTGGAAAGTTGAATTCGATTTGTATTGATTGTGTGGGATATGTTTGTATTTCAGCTGTAAATATATATTTTCTTTTTATATGTCTTAAATATACATACTAAGTGTGTGGTTTACTCACTCCACAACAGTTGCTTACTTCAGATGCAGGTTTTTTTTTTAGGCGGTGGTCCACTAAACAGTTTAGCATGGTTGGAGAGACATTTTAAGGGTATAGTGCCCTAATTATGATGTAACATTGTGCTATGTAATTGATAGTTTTTAAATTAATGTTATTGGTAACGAGTTGGTTAATTATTCTGGTTGAGTTATGATGTTGGAGTTAATAAATAGGGGTATCCACACCCTATCTCTTTTTCGAGAACATTTGTCCCTTGAAGGATATGATATAATTCAACTCAAATCATAATGACCGGTTGTTGAGTTCAAATGAGTAATTAGCGCAAACCTAAACACTCTATAACGAAAAAAAAAATTGTGCATCTCAATTTAATGAACCCTCAATATTAATTGAAACTTGCTACCAATGATTGTAATATATTAAGTCGGGAAAATATATAAGTCCAAACAACATTTTCTTTTATTACCTAAGAGGCCAATTTAGCCAGTGTTCCATTGCATGTGGATCTTTAATTTACCATACATATGTAAGAATGCCCTTAAGCAGTGGAGCCATTTCTGAACCATCCTCTCTCTCTCTCTCTCTTAGTCTTCTCTGGTCCACATTTCGGCAGAGAGGAAGAAGAAGAGCCTCTCTTTCTTCTTCCTCCTCTAGTGGTTCTCCATCTCTAATGGAATATGCCCACCAAACCCTCCACTCTTTCCCTGCAATTGATTCATCATTTCCGAAAAATGCATCCACCACCACCTCCCTATGTCATGCTATCGGAAAATCACGGAAGTCACCATGGAAGCGTCCGTCCTCCGCCCTATCGCCGCAACATTCCCCAGTACCATTCCCGCAATCAAAAGGAAGGTGGAGGAGGTTGTCTTAAATGCATATGCTGCTGTTATTGCTTCCTCTTCCTGTTGATCTTGATTCTAGCAGGTCTTGCCCTCTATTTCTACACTGTGTTCAAGCCCCAAATGCCTTCATACAAAGTCGAAGGCCTGGACGTGAAATCCTTCGCCGTTCA